TACAGGAGCGCTTTTCCGAACTTCTCAAGCGCTAGATCCATGATTTCATGGACATCAGTATTCCTTTCAATGAACGGTTGGATAATTGCCATTTCTTGTGATGATAACCGACGTCTAGATACATCGGTGGACATAAAACTTGCTGTGCAGGGATGGTTATGCACAGTTTTGTACTTGGTTATCATGTATACGTTGGATTTCCGCCGGACTAGAATTATTGACTGACATGATGTACTTTTGAACCTTAAAATTTTTAAAATTTGCACACGCAGCCAACTTACCCTCTGTTCCTAAAGCCAGCACCTCGGGGAGCACGATGACTTCCAAAAGTGCATTTAAACTTAACAAACTTGTAGTCATCAGCACCGGGTCGATCTTTTTTACTTGAATCAACACGATAGGATGTATTGGATTCCTTTCAAAGAAATAAAGAACAACTTAGTTAGTACCTTCATAAATGTGTCTAAAGCTTCCTTAAATTGTGTCCATGTATAAAATATACAACACAACATTATCCTTTGGAATATAGCTGTTACATCACACAATAAAGATGATATATTTCTTGAAGTAGACGCAGTAGGAGTACTTTGCAACATCATTTAATCGTTTTAACAATTCCTAACGTGCACAACACTATGACTTCAAGTAAATAAACACTAGTATACATTTCAGAGCTTATATACCACTGGCCATGACCTTGTCAATTTACTTCATTTATGCTGACGTAGTACGCACAATTCCCACAAATCATTGAAGTGACAACTTAAAAAAGTAGATTAGTTACTACATACATATTTCTACATGTAATAATTCAGGACATATTAAATTTATAGAAATGGTGGTTGAATTATACTGAAAGAGGCTACAGTTAGTTTCAAGGTCATGATGAGTTCCTGCGTCGGCTGGTTATATGTTTTCGTGAATTCGATTTCCATTGAATTTTAAGGGTTTTTTGCATGTTTTTCCCATTTTGCAGTGTGTAGATCAGTTTATGTCACTGGATACTACTATTAAGGTGGTTTTTAGCCTAAAGTTCGCAGTTTTTATGTTGGTAGTCAAGGGTTATGGTGAACCTTTAATGATTCAGCCAAATAAGGTAAACTTTTATAATATAGTAACCTTATTCAATAAGTAAACTGCCTAATCGTTCTGCTATTGTTTGGGATTAAAACTAAGAGCTGGTTTCTTATCATGATTGAAAGTAAATGGAACCGACTGGGTTTGCTTATCCGCTCTGTTCCATCCCTCACAGGACAAACTAGTTTCGAACTAGCGTTATTTCAGAACTAAAAGACTCAATTCAGCACCTAGGTATCATTGTAAGCATGACCAGCGTTATTTGAGAAAATGGTGGGTAAATAAGAGCTTCATTTACCATAAAAAGGCCTTATCGATGAATAGGTTAGAATAAGTTTATGAATATAGTAGGTTTGGTGGTGTTGCGGTCTAAGTGATAAATCGTATTAATCACCGTTATTCATGATATGCTATGAACCGCAAATGCTCGGCTGAAAAACGTAGTAAATAAGGCACAGATCGTTTTAATTTCTAAGTGACTTTCAAAGCGCTCTCCTAACGAAACAATCAACCAAAGTATTCTTTAAACTGTCGGTCTTAGCCTTTTGAAAGGAAAGGAAGTGTAACTGCAGTTTATACATACATGTTTATATTCTGAATACAAATGGAAATAAAAAGGTAATACAAATATTTTCACAAAAATAATCGATTAACAGGGGCACGTCGTAATCTTAAAGTTGTTTGCGGTTCATTTGCTAGCAAACTGTCCAACCTTCTGGTAAACTCCGCTATTTCCCGCAGTGCAGCATCCGGATTTCTTCGGTTCAGACTGTTGAGACGACATCTTAAGCGTTCATAAGCATTTCGAAACGCGTTGTTTGGTTCCGGTATTAACCGGATGGCCCTCGGAATGTTGTCCGTTGTGTTATATACACGTGTCCACCTCTCACTATTCCTCAGAATATCTAAGAGTAACATTTAAAGAAATGGAACATACCACAATTTAGATATGAGTTCAAGAACGCCTCAACGACATGTGCACAAGGCAAATTGTATGCGCAGTATGTCCAACATGTGCATTTCGCCTCGTTCCTGTTTACGAAGAATATGTGACCACCTTCTGCGTAAACAACTGAGGTAGAAGATATTGAATGGAAGAAGAAGGAACGCCTTTGTAAATCTAACACAACTTTCTGGGCAGCAAACGGTGTGAGACTCCGTAAATGAGACTTCAGGGAATTAGGTACCTAGGATAAATCGTAAATTATCTTCGAACTTACATCGTAATTGTAGTATTTAGCAAGCATCCACTGGCCCTGACGTATTTTACGCATGGTTGTGTGGTCGATCCACCTCCATACTTTCCATAGCGTCAGTTCCATCGGATCACCTTTACGTAGATATCTTTTCAACTGCCTATGAGCATTCTCAACTCTGTTGTTAGTATTGTTCCCCATGCTGATGGTGAACCTGTTGCACGATGCAGCCCAATATTTGCGTGTTCTTAGCCAGTACCTTCTAATGTAAGCACCAGCCTCAGCGTCTACAATACTTATGAGGTTTAGGTAACGCCAAAACCTTTGGCAATATACTCTGATTTGCTAACCTACCTGTCATAACTGCGCGTGTGCGCCATTCGATACAACCACTTTTTAACAAGCTGGTTTGGGAACTGTTTTCCCTATGTCAGTTAATGGGAATGTAACTTACCTTCCTTCTGAATGCCTGGCATACATGGAAAAGACACAAAACAATATTGCAACTGGGGAATTCCTCCTTTAGGGCTTTCATCTGTACAGTTGCACAGTCGACAGTGAATGTTAATGTTTTCGATGTATCCACCATAAATCTCTTAAACGTTTGCAATATCTCCTTGATATCTGCAAACGTTTCTCTCCTAGTAAGAGCAAACAAAACAGTCCTTCCTCTTCCGAATCCATCAGTCACAACAAACTGATTTAAAATTTTTCTGTAACAAATTTGGAAAAGGAATTATACCTTGTTGTACTGAAACTTACCCCATCTTATTCGTTTTGTAAGTACAATCGATTCCAACTACTTCTGGAAACTTATGATACACGTCTATCATATCATTACGAGCAAAAATGATTTTAGATACAAAGCCTGCGTTGTCCTGCAAAACTTTAACTGGACCTGTCTGCCTCAGTCGATGAAGCAGCTCTTCCAAACAACCAATTTCTATTCTACTGCACCATTTATTTTGATAGGACTTACGTTTATTTATCTTAGCCCGCATGTTTTTAATATCGTTATACAGGAGCGCTTTTCCGAACTTCTCATGTGCTAGATCCATGATTTCATGGACATCAGTATTCCTTTCAATGAACGGTTGGATAATTGCCATTTCTTGTGATGATAACCGACGTCTAGATACATCGGTGGACATAAAACTTGCTGTGCAGGGATGGTTATGCACAGTTTTGTACTTGGTTATCATGTATACGTTGGATTTCCGCCGGACTAGAATTATTGACTGACATGATGTACTTTTGAACCTTAAAATTTTTAAAATTTGCACACGCAGCCAACTTACCCTCTGTTCCTAAAGCCAGCACCTCGGGGAGCACGATGACTTCCAAAAGTGCATTTAAACTTAACAAACTTGTAGTCATCAGCACCGGGTCGATCTTTTTTACTTGAATCAACACGATAGGATGTATTGGATTCCTTTCAAAGAAATAAAGAACAACTTAGTTAGTACCTTCATAAATGTGTCTAAAGCTTCCTTAAATTGTGTCCATGTATAAAATATACAACACAACATTATCCTTTGGAATATAGCTGTTACATCACACAATAAAGATGATATATTTCTTGAAGTAGACGCAGTAGGAGTACTTTGCAACATCATTTAATCGTTTTAACAATTCCTAACGTGCACAACACTATGACTTCAAGTAAATAAACACTAGTATACATTTCAGAGCTTATATACCACTGGCCATGACCTTGTCAATTTACTTCATTTATGCTGACGTAGTACGCACAATTCCCACAAATCATTGAAGTGACAACTTAAAAAAGTAGATTAGTTACTACATACATATTTCTACATGTAATAATTCAGGACATATTAAATTTATAGAAATGGTGGTTGAATTATATTGAAAGAGGCTACAGTCAGTTTCAAGGTCATGATGAGTTCCTGCGTCGGCTGGTTATATGTTTTCGTGAATTCGATTTCCATTGAATTTTAAGGGTTTTTTGCATGTTTTTCCCATTTTGCAGTGTGTAGATCAGTTTATGTCACTGGATACTACTATTAAGGTGATTTTTAGCCTAAAGTTCGCAGTTTTTATGTTGGTAGTCAAGGGTTATGGTGAACCTTTAATGATTCAGCCAAATAAGGTAAACTTTTATAATATAGTAACCTTATTCAATAAGTAAACTGCCTAACCGTTCTGCTATTGTTTGAGATTAAAACTAAGAGCTGGTTTCTTATCATGATTGAAAGTAAATGGAACCGACTGGGTTTGCTTATCCGCTCTGTTCCATCCCTCACAGGACAAATTAGTTTCGAACTAGCGTTATTTCAGAACTAAAAGACTCAATTCAGCACCTAGGTATCATTGTAAGCATGACCAGCGTTATTTGAGAAAATGGTGGGTAAATAAGAGCTTCATTTACCATAAAAAGGCCTTATCGATGAATAGGTTAGAATAAGTTTATGAATATAGTAGGCTTGGTGGTGTTGCGGTCTAAGTGATAAATCGTATTAATCACCGTTATTCATGATATGCTATGAACCGCAAATGCTCGGCTGAAAAACGTAGTAAATAAGGCACAGATCGTTTTAATTTCTAAGTGACTTTCAAAGCGCTCTCTTAACGAAACAATCAACCAAAGTATTCTTTAAACTGTCGGTCTTAGCCTTTTGAAAGGAAAGGAAGTGTAACTGCAGTTTATACATACATGTTTATATTCTGAATACAAATGGAAATAAAAAGGTAATACAAATATTTTCACAAAAATAATCGATTAACAGGGGCACGTCGTAATCTTAAAGTTGTTTGCGGTTCATTTGCTAGCAAACTGTCCAACCTTCTGGTAAACTCCGCTATTTCCCGCAGTGCAGCATCCGGATTTCTTCGGTTCAGACTGTTGAGACGACATCTTAAGCGTTCATAAGCATTTCGAAACGCGTTGTTTGGTTCCGGTATTAACCGGATGGCCCTCGGAATGTTGTCCGTTGTGTTATATACACGTGTCCACCTCTCACTATTCCTCAGAATATCTAAGAGTAACATTTAAAGAAATGGAACATACCACAATTTAGATATGAGTTCAAGAACGCCTCAACGACATGTGCACAAGGCAAATTGTATGCGCAGTATGTCCAACATGTGCATTTCGCCTCGTTCCTGTTTACGAAGAATATGTGACCACCTTCTGCGTAAACAACTGAGGTAGAAGATATTGAATGGAAGAAGAAGGAACGCCTTTGTAAATCTAACACAACTTTCTGGGCAGCAAACGGTGTGAGACTCCGTAAATGAGACTTCAGGGAATTAGGTACCTAGGATAAATCGTAAATTATCTTCGAACTTACATCGTAATTGTAGTATTTAGCAAGCATCCACTGGCCCTGACGTATTTTACGCATGGTTGTGTGGTCGATCCACCTCCATATTTTCCATAGCGTCAGTTCCATCGGATCACCTTTACGTAGATATCTTTTCAACTGCCTATGAGCATTCTCAACTCTGTTGTTAGTATTGTTCCCCATGCTGATGGTGAACCTGTTGCACGATGCAGCCCAATATTTGCGTGTTCTTAGCCAGTACCTTCTAATGTAAGCACCAGCCTCAGCGTCTACAATACTTATGAGGTTTAGGTAACGCCAAAACCTTTGGCAATATACTCTGATTTGCTAACCTACCTGTCATAACTGCGCGTGTGCGCCATTCGATACAACCACTTTTTAACAAGCTGGTTTGGGAACTGTTTTCCCTATGTCAGTTAATGGGAATGTAACTTACCTTCCTTCTGAATGCCTGGCATACATGGAAAAGACACAAAACAATATTGCAACTAGGGAATTCCTCCTTTAGGGCTTTCATCTGTGCAGTTGCACAGTCGACAGTGAATGTTAATGTTTTCGATGTATCCACCATAAATCTCTTAAACGTTTGCAATATCTCCTTGATATCTGCAAACGTTTCTCTCCTAGTAAGAGCAAACAAAACAGTCCTTCCTCTTCCGAATCCATCAGTCACAACAAATTTTTTTTTTTTTTTTCTGTAACAAATTTGGAAAAGGAATTATACCTTGTTGTACTGAAACTTACCCCATCTTATTCGTTTTGTAAGTACAATCGATTCCAACTACTTCTGGAAACTTATGATACACGTCTATCATATCATTACGAGCAAAAATGATTTTAGATACAAAGCCTGCGTTGTCCTGCAAAACTTTAACTGGACCTGTCTGCCTCAGTCGATGAAGCAGCTCTTCCAAACAACCAATTTCTATTCTACTGCACCATTTATTTTGATAGGACTTACGTTTATTTATCTTAGCCCGCATGTTTTTAATATCGTTATACAGGAGCGCTTTTCCGAACTTCTCATGTGCTAGATCCATGATTTCATGGACATCAGTATTCCTTTCAATGAACGGTTGGATAATTGCCATTTCTTGTGATGATAACCGACGTCTAGATACATCGGTGGACATAAAACTTGCTGTGCAGGGATGGTTATGCACAGTTTTGTACTTGGTTATCATGTATACGTTGGATTTCCGCCGGACTAGAATTATTGACTGACATGATGTACTTTTGAACCTTAAAATTTTTAAAATTTGCACACGCAGCCAACTTACCCTCTGTTCCTAAAGCCAGCACCTCGGGGAGCACGATGACTTCCAAAAGTGCATTTAAACTTAACAAACTTGTAGTCATCAGCACCGGGTCGATCTTTTTTACTTGAATCAACACGATAGGATGTATTGGATTCCTTTCAAAGAAATAAAGAACAACTTAGTTAGTACCTTCATAAATGTGTCTAAAGCTTCCTTAAATTGTGTCCATGTATAAAATATACAACACAACATTATCCTTTGGAATATAGCTGTTACATCACACAATAAAGATGATATATTTCTTGAAGTAGACGCAGTAGGAGTACTTTGCAACATCATTTAATCGTTTTAACAATTCCTAACGTGCACAACACTATGACTTCAAGTAAATAAACACTAGTATACATTTCAGAGCTTATATACCACTGGCCATGACCTTGTCAATTTACTTCATTTATGCTGACGTAGTACGCACAATTCCCACAAATCATTGAAGTGACAACTTAAAAAAGTAGATTAGTTACTACATACATATTTCTACATGTAATAATTCAGGACATATTAAATTTATAGAAATGGTGGTTGAATTATACTGAAAGAGGCTACAGTTAGTTTCAAGGTCATGATGAGTTCCTGCGTCGGCTGGTTATATGTTTTCGTGAATTCGATTTCCATTGAATTTTAAGGGTTTTTTGCATGTTTTTCCCATTTTGCAGTGTGTAGATCAGTTTATGTCACTGGATACTACTATTAAGGTGGTTTTTAGCCTAAAGTTCGCAGTTTTTATGTTGGTAGTCAAGGGTTATGGTGAACCTTTAATGATTCAGCCAAATAAGGTAAACTTTTATAATATAGTAACCTTATTCAATAAGTAAACTGCCTAATCGTTCTGCTATTGTTTGGGATTAAAACTAAGAGCTGGTTTCTTATCATGATTGAAAGTAAATGGAACCGACTGGGTTTGCTTATCCGCTCTGTTCCATCCCTCACAGGACAAACTAGTTTCGAACTAGCGTTATTTCAGAACTAAAAGACTCAATTCAGCACCTAGGTATCATTGTAAGCATGACCAGCGTTATTTGAGAAAATGGTGGGTAAATAAGAGCTTCATTTACCATAAAAAGGCCTTATCGATGAATAGGTTAGAATAAGTTTATGAATATAGTAGGTTTGGTGGTGTTGCGGTCTAAGTGATAAATCGTATTAATCACCGTTATTCATGATATGCTATGAACCGCAAATGCTCGGCTGAAAAACGTAGTAAATAAGGCACAGATCGTTTTAATTTCTAAGTGACTTTCAAAGCGCTCTCCTAACGAAACAATCAACCAAAGTATTCTTTAAACTGTCGGTCTTAGCCTTTTGAAAGGAAAGGAAGTGTAACTGCAGTTTATACATACATGTTTATATTCTGAATACAAATGGAAATAAAAAGGTAATACAAATATTTTCACAAAAATAATCGATTAACAGGGGCACGTCGTAATCTTAAAGTTGTTTGCGGTTCATTTGCTAGCAAACTGTCCAACCTTCTGGTAAACTCCGCTATTTCCCGCAGTGCAGCATCCGGATTTCTTCGGTTCAGACTGTTGAGACGACATCTTAAGCGTTCATAAGCATTTCGAAACGCGTTGTTTGGTTCCGGTATTAACCGGATGGCCCTCGGAATGTTGTCCGTTGTGTTATATACACGTGTCCACCTCTCACTATTCCTCAGAATATCTAAGAGTAACATTTAAAGAAATGGAACATACCACAATTTAGATATGAGTTCAAGAACGCCTCAACGACATGTGCACAAGGCAAATTGTATGCGCAGTATGTCCAACATGTGCATTTCGCCTCGTTCCTGTTTACGAAGAATATGTGACCACCTTCTGCGTAAACAACTGAGGTAGAAGATATTGAATGGAAGAAGAAGGAACGCCTTTGTAAATCTAACACAACTTTCTGGGCAGCAAACGGTGTGAGACTCCGTAAATGAGACTTCAGGGAATTAGGTACCTAGGATAAATCGTAAATTATCTTCGAACTTACATCGTAATTGTAGTATTTAGCAAGCATCCACTGGCCCTGACGTATTTTACGCATGGTTGTGTGGTCGATCCACCTCCATATTTTCCATAGCGTCAGTTCCATAGGATCACCTTTACGTAGATATCTTTTCAACTGCCTATGAGCATTCTCAACTCTGTTGTTAGTATTGTTCCCCATGCTGATGGTGAACCTGTTGCACGATGCAGCCCAATATTTGCGTGTTCTTAGCCAGTACCTTCTAATGTAAGCACCAGCCTCAGCGTCTACAATACTTATGAGGTTTAGGTAACGCCAAAACCTTTGGCAATATACTCTGATTTGCTAACCTACCTGTCATAACTGCGCGTGTGCGCCATTCGATACAACCACTTTTTAACAAGCTGGTTTGGGAACTGTTTTCCCTATGTCAGTTAATGGGAATGTAACTTACCTTCCTTCTGAATGCCTGGCATACATGGAAAAGACACAAAACAATATTGCAACTGGGGAATTCCTCCTTTAGGGCTTTCATCTGTGCAGTTGCACAGTCGACAGTGAATGTTAATGTTTTCGATGTATCCACCATAAATCTCTTAAACGTTTGCAATATCTCCTTGATATCTGCAAACGTTTCTCTCCTAGTAAGAGCAAACAAAACAGTCCTTCCTCTTCCGAATCCATCAGTCACAACAAACAAATTCATTTTTTTTCTGTAACAAATTTGGAAAAGGAATTATACCTTGTTGTACTGAAACTTACCCCATCTTATTCGTTTTGTAAGTACAATCGATTCCAACTACTTCTGGAAACTTATGATACACGTCTATCATATCATTACGAGCAAAAATGATTTTAGATACAAAGCCTGCGTTGTCCTGCAAAACTTTAACTGGACCTGTCTGCCTCAGTCGATGAAGCAGCTCTTCCAAACAACCAATTTCTATTCTACTGCACCATTTATTTTGATAGGACTTACGTTTATTTATCTTAGCCCGCATGTTTTTAATATCGTTATACAGGAGCGCTTTTCCGAACTTCTCATGTGCTAGATCCATGATTTCATGGACATCAGTATTCCTTTCAATGAACGGTTGGATAATTGCCATTTCTTGTGATGATAACCGACGTCTAGATACATCGGTGGACATAAAACTTGCTGTGCAGGGATGGTTATGCACAGTTTTGTACTTGGTTATCATGTATACGTTGGATTTCCGCCGGACTAGAATTATTGACTGACATGATGTACTTTTGAACCTTAAAATTTTTAAAATTTGCACACGCAGCCAACTTACCCTCTGTTCCTAAAGCCAGCACCTCGGGGAGCACGATGACTTCCAAAAGTGCATTTAAACTTAACAAACTTGTAGTCATCAGCACCGGGTCGATCTTTTTTACTTGAATCAACACGATAGGATGTATTGGATTCCTTTCAAAGAAATAAAGAACAACTTAGTTAGTACCTTCATAAATGTGTCTAAAGCTTCCTTAAATTGTGTCCATGTATAAAATATACAACACAACATTATCCTTTGGAATATAGCTGTTACATCACACAATAAAGATGATATATTTCTTGAAGTAGACGCAGTAGGAGTACTTTGCAACATCATTTAATCGTTTTAACAATTCCTAACGTGCACAACACTATGACTTCAAGTAAATAAACACTAGTATACATTTCAGAGCTTATATACC